ACTTATTGACAGGATTGTCACCCAAATAAAAGGGATTTTGTTTTGTTTTAAAGTTTCCAGCCTATTGTATCAGCAGGGGTTTGGTCCTTGTGCCTCTAACAAGGACGGCAATAGGCTGGGATAGAACAGTTTGCCTTCAGCCTCACCCCCTACTACCATGGAGCAGCTACGTGCTGAGAACGCCCAGCTGGCTCAGCAGTTGGCTGTGTTATCTGCTCAAGTTGCTCAGCTATCTGCCCACGTTCCTGCTGCTCCACCACCACCCAGGAGAAAATGCCAAGTGGGGAGGCCGGACAAATTTGATGGCAACCCGGACAAATTTGATGGCAACCCCTGTTTTCATGGGACAATGCCGCTTGTATATCAGTGTGAAAGCAGATGATTTCCCCACTGACCGGGATAAAGTGGGGTTTATCGTAAGTATGCTCTCTGGTCCTGCAGCTCGTTGGGGCACACCCTTGCTAGCCCAATCTAGTCCATTGATGGACAACTTTGTGGGGTTTTGTGAGCACATGCGGTTAATGTATGAAGACCCCATCAAGACCCAGATGACTACCCGGCATTTGAAGGCTCTGAGGCAAGGCCGACGCCCCCTGCAGGGCTATATCAGCAAATTTCGGCTGCTTAGCCAGGATTCAGTCTGGAATGAGGCTGCGCTTGTGGACGCTTTCCAGGATGGGTTGTCGGAGGAGATGCTGGATGAGCTGGCCCGTGTTGATATTCCCCCGGACCTTACTGGGCTCATTCATCTCTGTCTGCGGATCGATGCCCGGCTGCAGCAGCAAAAGAGTCGCCGTGCCATCCCAGAGACCCGTACGGCCCCCGTTGTGGGTGCGACCCCGATCCAGAGGGAGGAGCCAATGGAGTTAGGTGCTGCCAGACCTCGTCTATCGGTGGCAGAGATGAACAGGCGACGTTCGGGGGGGTTGTGTTTTTACTGTGGGGACCCTGGGCATTTGGCCGCTTTCTGCCCCAAGAAGCGATGAGGGGCATCTGTGCCGGAGCTTCTCCTGAGACTGCCATCGGCTCCCCTATCGGGAAACGGCCCATGCCCGACCTGAAAGGCCTTTTGGGTCGGGTGTCCCGCACCTCTGAGCCACACCCTTCTGATGCTGACCACGGACCCCCAAAACATTTGATCTTGGAGGCGCGCCTGATTCTTCCTAAGTTGCCCAAGGGGATTCCTGTCCATATGTTGATTGACTCTAGGGCCACTACAAACTTTATAGACGCAGCATTCGTGGCTCAATGGGCTATTCCCCAATGCCCCGTGGATCCACCGATGTTAGTGGAAACCATTGATGGTCGAGTGCTTCGGTCTGGGCCAATTAAGGCTGCCACGCAACCACTATGTATGGCCATCAGTACCCATGAGGAGGCCATCCAGTTTTATATCACCTCAGACCTACATTTCCCTGTGGTCTTGGGAATGGCGTGGCTTCGAGCGCATGACCCACAAATTTAT